AGATGTAGCTCCCGTACTTGATGTGCGCCCCGAGCCCTGGCGACTCCTCGCCACCTTCATAGACAAAGTGGATGGCCACACGGCTTGTTCGCCAACGGGCTCGCGTGTAACCGAGCACCAGGCCTTTCTCTCCGATAGACTCGTAGAGTTCGAGTTATCAGAGGCGTGAAAGATCATGCCCAGGTGCTTGCACCGGTCCACGATGAGACGCTCTCCCATCGCGCCGCTTCAGAGACCTGCTCAGGCATCCTGGAGTGTCCCTGGATAGCCGAGATCCCCATCTCGAAGTCCCAATCGAAGAAGCGATTGAAGACTAGAGCCTTGGGCGCGACCCAGAGCTTGAAGCGGCCCTTAGAGTTGGCGCAAACAAACGCAAAGGACTTGCGTGGCTCCCACTCAAACGGCCTGAGCTTCATCCGCTGTAGCTCCTCCAGGGACGCCTCCATGTAGTTTCCCAGGCGTGTGTCCGCTTCATGTCGAAGAATCCTTGACATGGTCTTCGATGCCTCCATGGTCGTGACGCAAATTGCTCACGACACGGATCTCCTCGTGGAGAGAGCCCAAGCTCTCGGCACTCAGAGCTCCAAGGAAGCAACAGAGAAACTCATACTTCCAGGTCAGGGGCGGCTGCAAAAGGCGACATCCAGCATGCTTCTTCTCATGCTCACGGACCGTTGACAAAAACGCCAGCTGTCCCTCAAGGATGTCCAAGACGGCCATCTCCTCAAATGAGAAGTACGCCGACTTATCCTTGTGGCCAGGATGACGAGGAACGTCATCAGGCTTGAGCTTGCGATGAGGCACTGGAATGTTCTTCGGAAAGACTCTGGGAACACGGCTCTTGTAGAAGACCTTACCATCATCTTCAACTGTTCGGAGTCTATGGCGGGCCATCCAGGACGGGCTCTCCAAATAATTGCTGTATTCTGGAACACCTGTGGTCAGGTTGACACGAATGTTGCAACAGATGTTTGGCGTCCAGTATACTTGCACACCAGGTACCTCCTCCCGAGAGAAGCTTCCCGGCGCAGAAGAGCCTTGTCCTGCCGCAG